TTACGTCTACCTCCCTATTACTGCATTTTTAACCCGATTGAGTTGGTCTGGGCTGCTTTAAAAAAAAAAAGTAAGAAAACATAATCAGACCCCTCAATTAAGTGAATCGCTATTGGCCACAATGAGAGATGCAGTATCTCATATTGCTGCCACAGACCTATGGAAGCAGTGTTCTAGGCATATTATTGAAAAAGAAAATGAATATTGTGTTTTGCCTCCTGTAAATCCCGTTGTAATTCCTCTACAAGATGACTCTAGCGACAGCTCCGAAGGCGAGGATGATATATAAATACCTATAATGTAAGTCTTTATATACCTTTTTATATACCTACCTGCTATGTAAATATTTGCCTATGTCAAACGTTGGAATTCTGTAATTTTTCCATTTCTTAACTTTCAGTCAACATAAATTAAACTCCCATAAAAACATTATTATTATCGTTCTAAATAAATGACCGCACGCCTATGATACATCATGAAATTACAAAGGACGCGCCGACCAAAGGTTTTTATGCTATTTCAAGTGACTTCAGATAAAGTATACCTATTTATTTTGTTGTATTCCAATCTATTATTTGTCTTTTTCGTACACACCCATAGTGAATATGCATTTAAACAAGAAATACGCATTTTGTTATTAGCATTACTTACCTTATAATAATATTTTGTAATATTTTCTAAAAGGGTGATTTTAATCTTATGAATAAAAAAGAATTCCGGAAAAAATAGTGTATAAAAATAAAAATTTAAGGGGTTTTAGTACAAGATTTTTTTTCGCCTAAATTTTAGGTTAGAAACAGAGCGTTTAGACATCTTTTAGCTAACTTTCTATAAAAAAAAATCATGCTAATCCATTCAATTATTTTGAGAAAATTAACCATTTCTGGCGGAATGTCGAATTAAGCTTTCTAGCGGCCACATGTGAAACTAACAAATCTTCAAATGTTATTACATTTGTAGCCCAAGAATATCTCTTTTCGACTAGCCCAAATTTGTTGAAATCGGCTCAGCCGTTTCGAAGATACTGGGTTTTTCTTACGGAAACCTTTTACTTTGTTTTTAGAGATACAGCAAAAATTGTCAGACAAAAAAAGTTCAGGTTATTCTCGATTTTAAAGATCAGGTATTTTTTGGTAGGTTTATATAGCGGAATTCACAGAAACATCACTGCTTTAGATTTTAGGTACACCTGCTAGCGGACATTTCAGAAACTTGAAAATATTTTTCAGATTTTTCTCATGACCGTTTTAGTACGAACTTTTTTTCCGCAAGCCTCCAAGATGGATAGGTTCCCAGATAGAGTACCTCACATTCTTAGTTGGCCACCCTGTACATGAACAAATTATGAGCTAGAGTTAAGGGGGGCAGCGGCCACCCCTCTCTTGAGTACGCCTATGCGCACCATCCTCATAAATATCCAATTCTGAAATAACAATGATTTCCGATACGAGGGATGTCTTTTAAGTTTTGCATTGTCTTGGTGGAGGACGATTCTTCCTTCGGGGTCGATTTTTCGAAGCTCGGTGATGACTTTTGGCAAACAAATGGTGGTAAACCAATCCGTAGTAACAGTTCTTTGCTCATTAAGAGGAATTGCTGCAATATGAACCGCTTTTGACACAAATGTCGCGACCATCTTTTCCGAAACACTTCGAGAACGGAAGACATTTGTTGGCTTTTCTTCACCTTGGAACACCCAAACAGCCGACTGTCGTTTATTTTCTGGTTCATAACAGTAAATCCACGATTCATCACCACTAATAAAGCTGTAGTTTCTGAAATTGAAACGGTCAAGCGTTTTTTGACACCAATTAACCCTGGCTGCTTTCTGCTCTTCAGTCAACAGGTGGGGTATCCAACGAGAAACTAATCTTCTTACTCCTAATTCTTCACATAAAATTTTTTGAATTGAGGTCTTTCAGATCTTCAAGGACGCCTCAGTCTCGCGATATGTCACATGTCTATCTTTAATGATGAGTTTGCGCACAGCATCGACGTTTTCCTGTAGTGATAACACTGCACGTATTGTTGTGAAACTTTGAATTTAAATTTACTAAAGATTCAGTACTGACGTTCGATCCGCGCGGCCTACTACGTTTCTAAAGTATATTCAGATAAGAGATAGACCGGACATAAACAAGACCACGTGATCACCGAACGCTGTAACATTCGGCAGGGACGTATTAAGAGTCACGCAGTACATATTTTAGATAGTAGATGCTGCTTTGCGTAACTTTGTAGTAAATTAGCACAATTCGATGTGTATACGATTGGTGATGGATATAGGATCATGTGGGGGTGAGGTAAGAAATATATAATGATGTAAATATACATAAGGGTTTCAAAATTTTCGCTTCGATTTCCAGCTTTGGATGCCGCCTGATGTTTGGTAAAATACAGTCGAATATAATCTCAAAATGGCGTTTAAATTAGCCTAAATTAAAAATAATCGTATATCTCTTAAAATTGCTTTTAGAATATTGATTAGTATATTTTTTGATTTCTAGGTAAATATGTAACCAAATTAAAACGTTCAAAACGTAAAAAAATGTGCATGGTTGAACTTTGTCAGAAAGTAGATTCTTGAATAGGTTTTGCCAAAATGGGTTCAAAAATGTCAATAATTAATTAAAAAATACAGTAGCTTTATAATTACTTATAACTTACCGAATTTGATGAACGACATCTTTTATTGGAAAGATGAGCTTGATGAGCTTTCATTATCGCTACTGCCTGAAGCACCAACGTCAATAATGAATGGCTCGACTTGTTCCTCTAAAATATTGTCCAGTTCCCACATTCTCTTTTCAACTTTGACTTTCACGTGCTTAATACAGTTTTTCCAATTTTTCGCTGTTATTAATTCTAGTGCTTCTTTGAAAAGTCCTTTGAGGTCACAAAATTTAAAAGTTGTATTGTGCTTAGCTATATAATTTTTAACCTCTGCCCATATGAGCTCAATGGGATTGAGCTCGCAATGGTATGGAGGTAAACGGAGCACAGTTTTATTTTGACTTGCTGCCATTTCGTCAATGGCGTATTTTTGATATTCCGCCTTGTGATCCTTGACAATTCTTAATAATTGTACTTTCAGCATTGCTTCTTCAAAGTTGATATTTTTCGAGCGGAGCCAATTTTGAACATCAACTTTCCTTGAAGCCGTTGTTGGGACCTTCTCCATTCTTCGAGAATGATAAGGCGCATTATCCAACACAATTACTGCGTTTTCCTCTAAGTTCGGTAAAATTTTTGAAAACCACTCTTCAAACGATTCGCCATTCATTCCTCGTGGTAATCTCCAGTTTTCTTAGACTCAAAGCACCACAGACCGTCAACAACAAATCCATCCTCACTGCCAATATGGCAGATAATGAGCCTTTTGCCTTTACCTGGAAATCGAAGTACTAACTGGTGTAGATTTATTTCAATAAGCGAACCTTTTTCAAATGTTTTCATCACATTCAGCGAAAAAACATTGAGACATGAGTATCAGATTGCTATAATTGGGATTATTTAGTCATATTGAAAGAAAGAATATTGAACGTCGTATGATTACTCAGCGCTTCACAATTTAATTTAAAGTTATAAACCTTTAAAAAATGAATGATCAGGAACCTGAAATACGCGCAAATATTAATATTAACAAATTATAACTTTATAAAGCTTAAAGTATGAATTAAAATGATTAGAAATATTAAGAACGGTACACAATATAAAACTTAGTAACTTTTTTTAAGTTTATAATATTCGACATATTTTAAGATTATATTAAAAAATTATTGAAATATCGAAAACAAATAAAAACATGGTTTAAAAAAGTTCTAACAAATGAAAATGACAATAAAACATCCACGCATTTTATCGAAAGTTATAAAAGTTTTGTTACTTGTAATATGTTTTATCTGCCCCCTGGAATTAATGTTTAGAACCTCGTTCCCAAGGTTTGAAAAACATCCGATTGTTGTCTATTACTTGTATTTACCTGCTGGATTTTTTAATCCGGTGGACAGTCCATCTAGAAAGGCCCTCCTGGATGAAGTTACAGAATCATCAACCCATACTTTACTTGTAGTGTGTCCTGCGTTTACCCACGTTTTATCAAGGTAATAAATCTTCCTGTTTTGATTTCTATATTTCCCAATTTTTGTTAAATAATCCCTCCTTCATAGCACAATTTCTTCTCTATCCAGTAGTAAACTATTACGACCCCGTTTTTTCCATTTGAAATTTAAATGCTTCAGTAACGCATGGAAAGTTGATCGTTTGAAATTTGGCAACGTTGTATCTCCATTTACCTCCTGCAGTACTTTATCTATAGTAGGTATTTCATTCCTAAAAAAGAATTCATGCACTTTCCTCCTAATCGCATGCTTATCAGATTCATCCAATGATTTAACAATACTTTTGCGATGTTTACTGGTCATTGGCTCAGAAAAGGTGTGATTTTTTTTGTATTGTCTTAACACATTAAACACTGATGCGCGACACACCCCAACTTTGTGAGAAACCTTCACAACAATTTCTTTGATGGTTGATGCCTCGTTCTCCTCGCGCTCGATCTTATATATATTCAAAATAACCTCTTTCATTTCTGCACTCAGGTGTCTTTTTTTAGAGCGTTTCCTAGGTGGACTACAGGAGTTTACAACTTCATCGGCAGTATCTGTACTACTGGGCATTTTGCGCAAGCAGTTGATAACAATAACAATCAATAACAAGGTATAACAATAACAACGACAAACTCAACAACTTAATAAGATAACAAACGAAAACGTCCAATGCAATATCAAATTGCAATGATGCACACGACATACGTAACACGTCTGAACCTGAATGTGACTCTGCCTTGATACGACTGCTCTGCCGCTCGGCATAGGCATTTAATTGCGAATTGACCAATGAGGGCTCCTGTTTTACGTCGAGACGGCGGCGTTAGCGTGAAAATCACCCGAACCTTTTGTTTACATCCGGTCTATCTCTTATCTGAATATACTGTATATGGAAAACTTAAAAGACATCCCTCGTATACCTAGCCTGAGCGACCCTGTAGCATTACTACAAGCCACTCGAACCGAGCGTTCCCTCGATCGGCTTGCGTGCAAGTCAACGTCTCAGATCTCCCCCCACCACCAGCCATACGCTACTACCGCGTTTACCTGCTCACTGATGACGTTTTAAAGCCAAAGAAATGCTCACCGCTATTCGGCCATGTTAGATGCCGTTTATCGCGTTTCGGACACGAATTTGACCAGCGTATTTTGACAGTTCGCATGGCCATGCGGTCATGGGCGAATAAACGTCAGCCTATCGTGCGCGATTCGTGTTTCGGTGTTCGCCGCGACAACCATCTTGAACGATGAGTGAAATCTGCGTGTGAGCCACTTTGATGACCCACATCGTGTTAAAATCCATCGAGAGTGTGCGTAAGGAATGCTAGTTAGTGTTAAAAGGTCAACCGTGTAGTGACATGGACTTGTGTTGTGAAGTGTCTTTATGAGGTGGGTCAAATTGGTCCGCATTCGGTTCGGTTTGGTGTTGTGCCTTTCTAAATTAATCGACCAGACGTATGATATACCATCAAGCTTTCAGGAAATCATAAACATAATAACACAAGATATAAGAGAGGTTTTCTACTTGTGCTTTATTCTCAATCACTCTAAAAAAATTCGAATGTCTTGTAACACCAGGTGTTAGTTTACATGTATCCGGTCCGAAGGACCAAAATTTGGTCATTCGCGCCGAACATTTTACGTATTAAATAGAGGCAAGCGCGAAAGATTTGTATGGAGAATCAACAGGTGTTGATCAAGACATTGATCTACAAAAACGTATATGGTGACAAAACGATTTGGAACTCAGAATCTAAGAATCTTTACGATCCATAACTCGATATGATCACCACACTTCGTATACCATAAAAGCAGATAATTTAAACACCCCGCAATGATTCAGTTTTAAAAAATACATATCAGAATATCTACACGTGACTCGACACATAAAAAATCACCTAAAACAAGGAAAGAAAGCCTAACTGGCCCATGTAATCCAAGAGTATTCGTTAAACGTTCAATGTCTATATTATTTCTGAAAAGCCATGTGTCTTATCTCATCAACTGTTAAATATTACTTTCCATATATTCGACTTGAAGGACCAAATGTGTTAAGTGTACTTACTAGGCAAGGACGTGCGTATACATTTTAACACAGGGTATTTATTTGTTTCATGGACAAATTAAAATCTATACTGAGTGACATATAAATCCGAACACCCAGTTTAAATGGTTTTATTTTAATAAAAGTTGGTGAATGTATTTATCTTACTGTAAATAACAAGTGAAAAAATGTTCAGCCTTATCAGTTGGACATTCCGGTTTTTATACTGCTTTTTTTCAATTCACTAACGCTCTAAAAATGAATATTTCAGCCGCAGTAAAGAATCAACGTTGGCGGATTTTGGTTCTTGACATCCTTTACGATCGGTTACGATGCCTAGAGTACGGAGACCTGTACGATTTCGTCAACTTAGTGAGTTTGATAGGGGCCGTATAGTGGGACTTCGGGAAGCTGGACTTTCTTTTCGGGCAATTGCAGTTAGAGTGCAAAGAAGTGTAGACACTGTGGTTAGGTGTTGTCAGGCATGGCTTCGCGAAGGCCGTACGCAAAGAGCAAGGGGCACTGGACGCCGTCGTAGAACAACAGACAGTGAAGATCGCCGCCTAAGATTATTGGCCTTAAGGGACCGTTTCTCCACTACCAGGTCCATTGCAAATGAATGGTTTGCAGAACACGGAAGACCTATTGGCATGCGAACTGTTTACCGATGAATGAGAAGTTTTGGCTTGTTTTCATACCGGCCACACTGGGTCCTCCCTTTAACTCGAGAACACCGACGTAATCGCTTTGAGTGGTGCAGACCACGGTCACTCTGGGATCAGGAATGGAACAGTATTGTCTTTAGTGACGAGTGTCGATTTTGTTTAGGTATGCACGATGGTCGTGCCAGGGTTAGAAAGCGACGTGGTGAAAGGAGGAATCCACAGTTTTTTGTTGAAAGACATGTTCATCACACTGTTGGAGTTATGGTTTGGGGTGTTATAGCTTATGGTTCCAGGTCACCTTTAATCTTCATCAGAGGTAACATGAACGCGCAGCGTTATATCCACGAAGTTCTAGAACCCCATCTTTTACCCTATCTTGACACCCTGGCAGATCCAACTTTCCAACAAGATAATGCCGGACCACATGTTGCAAGAGTCACAATAGACTTCTTTCAACATAATGATGTCACATTGTTACCATGGCCACCAAGATCTCCCGACTTATCCCCAATTGAGCACGTGTGGGATATGATAGGTAGGAGATTGCTCAATTTGCAACGTCCTCCTCAGACTCTAGAAGCACTTCGAGAGGAGTTGGTGGTTGCCTGGAATGAGATACCACAGGAGAACATTGACCACCTGATCAGAAGCATGCCTAGGCGCGTTGGAGAATGCGTAGCACATCAGGGTGCATCCACACATTTTTAAAGGTCAAAGGGCTTTAAAGCAGTGCCATCATTTTGAAATTTTTATCATTTACTTATTATGCTTCATTAAGTACTTATACAAAATTTTATTAAAATAAAACCATTTAAACTGGGTGTTCGGATTTATATGTCACTTGGTATATTAAAGATGTGCAATACTGACATTATTGATTAGCTTATTCTAGCTGACTATACCAAACTGTATATCGTCCTTTAAAAAGTTCTCTTAGATGGCCCTGTAGTCAGCTGTAAGAGCGTATATGGGCATATGGTTAGTAATAGCGCCATATATGAGACAATAAGTTTTGCAGAGTAGATTTCTAATTATTGCGGAAAGGAGAATACGTTAATCAATGCTGAAATACGCATGGTATCCCGGAATAATATAACTATGGTAATTTTTCGTATGCATATAGAGTGTAAATAAAGTTTTGAACGACACTGGACAGCATGACAACATGATCGTAAATATATCTTTCGGATAACCATTATCCCCCGTTTCGCCGACTGTACACCTGGTTTTCTACGTTCTATAAGTTTCTGAAAGACTGCCACGTTGTACAAATATTATTTACAAAACAGATCATAAACACAAATACGTACAAACGTTCAATTGAACCAATTTGACCGACCTCATTGCAGCCCCATAGCGCGTAAGGACAAATATGTCAAATAAGAAACCGTACATCGGCAAACCTCCGAACGAACAAGGTGCGGTGCCCCCTCGATACCAACCGCCTCCCATCCCCAATGGACAAGGCATTCTGAAGCATCCCCCGCCAAAAGACATGAAGTTCCCTCCCAACAAACCCCCGGACAACGTGAAAATTTTGTACGCCCCTTCTGAGCCGTCGCCCAAGAACTTTTATCCAAATGCTCAGAATAAACAGTACCACTACCCGCAGTACCCGCCACCCCAGGACAATAGAACGACTCAGGTTCAGGTGCATCAGGATACGTCAAGACCAAGGCCTTTGGACGAACCTGGGATTCCCCAGATTTTGCCTGATTTGAGGATACCTGCTCAGAGACAGCCGTTGAGGTACGACGACGAGCTCCTGAGATCGGAAATGTTGAAGTTCTCGAGGAAACCCGAGGATCCTAGGTTCGTGGATCAGAACCGGCAGTTGCAGAACATCCTGTTGGAGCTAAGATCTTTAAAAGAAGCTAACCAGCATCTTGCCGATGACAACCAGGAGCTCAGAGACCTCTGTTGCTTCTTGGACGACGACAGACAAAAAGGAAGAAAGCTAGCTAGAGAATGGCAACGTTTTGGACGATACACGGCCAGCGTCATGAGACAAGAAGTGTCCGCATATCAGAGTAAGCTTCGCGAGCTGGACAACAAACAACAAGAACTGATCAAAGACAACTTGGAGCTGAAGGAGCTTTGTTTGTACTTGGACGAGGAACGAGGAAACAATTCGTTGTGTCCAAATTGCGGCGGAACCGCTACGGGGAACGTACGAGATGACGGAGATGGTTCCAGTTCGAGCACCAATCCTGACGAGCCGGCAGTTGGACAGGAGTTTACCGGCAATGCTCCAAGGAGATCGGCGAGCAGGGAGCGGTTGCTGCACGAGAATTTGGCAAGGCAGCGGAGCACGTTCAATGGTAAGATCATTGAAAAAATCGCATTGTCAACAACACGGCCCGTAAGAGTCGGTGTTCCTCAGGGTTCGGTCTTAGGACCAATCGTTTATTCACTTTATACAAGGTGTCCCAGAAGTCGACGTCAAGCCGAAACCAGGTGATAGGCAAAGTCATAACAGCTATCAGAAAAATATTTAAAAAATTTTTATGTATGTGTTTTGAAAATTATAAGTCTTTGAAAAAGATATAGAAATTTCACACCCTACGGCAGTCTGTCAACTCCTGTTACTACAGATATTAACTTTTTTTGGATTTTATTTTTACAATGTAATGATGAATAATGCATCTTCAAACTGGTGTTTCAACCTTACTGCCAAATTTTCTCGTTCAGGAAAAATTGCCACTTATTTCCCAACCAAGTATTCCAAAGTAAAACTTTGCTCAACTTTAACTGGCTGTACTGGAAAAAAATGTACTACGAGAGTTTGGCAAGTAACCTTAAAAGTTGGCGCATTTAATAAGGATTCCAAAATGGTATAACACTTAGAAGATTACTCGTTAACTTATGCACAATTTTTATTTGAAGAAAAACTGATGAAAATTTTTCAAAATTTCCTAATTAAACAGCGATTATGAAAACGCACAAGGACCCTTAAGGATAACTGTTTGCACAACAGTGGGCGTCAAAATGCTGCTGATGATGATTTACCTTTACAGCAAATGCTCAAACTGTTTTCCTTCAGCCGCAATACAAGCTCGACATCTTCTTAAAAAAGATCGGGTTATTAAACGAGCGAATCCACGGTTATTAACAAACTCAGCTGCTTCCAATAGTCTTTGCCGTAGCTCAGCTACATTTTGAATCGGCTTGAAATACACTTTTTCTTTTACAGTTCCCCAGTAAAAAAAAATCTAACGGATTCAAATCTGGTGACCGGGCTGGCCACGGTATTGTACCAGACCGCCTTATCCATCTGCCTGGAAAGTTTTGATCGAGATACTCTCTCACTGAGAGTGCATAGTGCGCTGGGCAGCCATAATGCTGAAACCACATGTCCCTGTAAATACTCAGTGGCACGTCCTCCAATAAATTTTCTAAATGATTTTGCAAAAAACCTAAATAAACCTCAGCAGTCAAAGTCTCTTGGAACTCAAACGGACCGATTATTTTACCATTTAAAATTCCTGTCCAATGGTTTATCTTGAAGCGATATTGAGATTTATCTTCTCTCATCAAATGTGGGTTTGCTACGTGCCACTCGTGTAAGTTATGCAGGTTCATGTACCCATCTTTCTTAAATGTGGTCTCATCTGACCATAAAATTTTTTCAAAGAACTGTGGATCTTCCCTGTGTCTTTCTAACATTGTGCGACAAAAAGCAACTCGGGGCTCATAATCCCGGGGCAGAAGAGCTTGAACACGCTGTACGTGGTATGGATGGAGCACGTTCTTTTGCAAGATTCTATGGGCTGTACTTTTGGGCACACCTGTTTTTAGTTCTATTGCACGCACTGAAGTACTCGGGTCTTCTTCGACAGCTCCTAACACCACGTCTTCGTAAGGAAGGAAAGATCTTCCCTCACCATGTGATTGGTTTGGTAGTTGGCCCTCTGAGAACAGTAAGCGGTGCACATTTGTGAACACTCGATGATCTGGATGACGAGCTGCATTCGGGTACCTCTCACAGTAAAGTCTCGCTGCAGCACTAGCGTTGCATCTGCATTCCCCATAAATGAGGTGCATGTTAGAATATTCTTGTACGGTGTATACGGACATAGCGGCACTGCACAATCACACTATCAAAGATAGTCTAAGGAAAGCAAATGTTGTTTCGAAGAGCAATTAAACAGTCCAAATCCAAATCACAAGCGATCAACAGTTCAGTTCACGAATCCAAAATTAGTAACAGTACGAAATCAACAAGCACGAACATGTAGAGATGCGTAGTAAACGAAGGAGTACTGATCGGTATCAAAGTGTGCAATAGCAAGTAAGTGATGTACTTCATCCATACCACATACAGCGTGTTCAACCTCTCCTACCCCGTTATTATGAGCCCCGAGTTTCTTTTTGTCGCACAATGTTAGAAAGACACAGGAAAGATTCACAGTTCTTTGAAAAAATTTTATGGTCGGATGAGACCACATTTAAGAAAGATGGGTACATGAACCTGCATAACTTACACGAGTGGCACGTAGCAAACCCACATTTGATGAGAGAAGATAAATCTCAATATCGCTTCAAGATAAACCATTGGACAGGAATCTTAAATGGTAAAATAATCGGTCCGTTTGAGTTCCCAGAGACTTTGACTGCTGAAGTTTATTTGGATTTTTTGAAAAATCATGTACAAAATTTATTGGTGGACGTGCCACTGAGTATTTACAGGGACATGTGGTTTCAGCATGATGGCTGCCCAGCGCACTATGCACTCTCAGTGAGAGAGTATCTCGATCAAAACTTTCCATGCAGATGGATAGGGCGGTCTGGAACAATACCGTGGCCAGCCCGGTCACCAGATTTGAATCCGTTAGATTTTTTTTTACTGGGGAACTGTAAAAGAAAAAGTGTATTTCAAGCCGATTCAAAATGTAGCTGAGCTACGGCAAACACTATTGGAAGCAGCTGAGTTTGTTAATAACCGTGGATTCGCTCGTTTAATAACCCGATCTTTTTAAGAAGATGTCGAGCGTGTATTGCTGAAGGAAAACAGTTTGAGCATTTGCTGTAAAGGTAAATCATCATCAGCAGCATTTTGACGCCCACTGTTGTGCAAACAGTTATCCTTAAGGGTCCTTGTGCAAAATTGTGCATAAGTTAACGAGTAATCTTCTAAGTGTTATACCATTTTGGAATCGTTATGAAATGCGCCAACTTTTAAGGTTACTTGCCAAACTCTCGTAGTACATTTTTTCCAGTACAGCCAGTTAAAGTTGAGCAAAGTTTTACTTTGGAATACTTGCTTGGGAAATAAGTGGCAATTTTTCCTGAACGAGAAAAGTTGGCAGTAAGGTTGAGACACCAGTTTGAAGATGCATTATTCATCATTACATTGTAAAAATAAAATCCAAAAAAAAGTTAATATTTGTAGTAACAGGAGTTGACAGACTGCCGTAGGGTGTGAAATTTCTGTATCTTTTTCAAAGACCTATAATTTTCAAAACACATACATAAAATTTTTTTAAATATTTTTCTGATAGCTGTTATGACTTTGCCTATCACCCGGTTTCGGCTTGACGTCGACTTCTGGGACACCCTGTATACATGACGTCCCTTGCCCCAGCAACTATGAAGTCTTATCTCTATGCTGACGACACTGCATTGCTAGCCCAGTCTTGTTCTGGTAACCTGGTTCACGACAGGCTGCAGAGTGCGGTGGAGGAAGTATTGGAGTGGGCGGATCGGTGGTTGATCAAAATTAATACTTCGAAAACGCAGGCAAACTTTTGTACTAAAAAACGTCGCGGTGCCCGCTCAGAGATATCAGTAAATGGAACTCGTATACCATGGGAGCAATCTGTCAAGTATCTTGGAGTCATCATTGACCTGGCAGAAACATACTGATATATATTTTGAAAACAATAGCAGCTGTATCCTTTGTTGTGCAGAAATTCAAAATTAAGTTTAATCGACAAGATTTGGTTGTATAAAATGGTCATAAGACCCGCAATCACCTACGCATGCGCGGCTTGGTGTTTTCATGCCAAGACGCACATACAGAGACTGCAAATGCTGCAAAACAGAACCCGACGCAAAATTACTAACGCCGCTTGGTACGTGTCAAATGAGACTTGAGAGATCTTGATATCCCATATCCAAGGGACTACGTAAAACAACAGGCGCAGCGGCGTTATAATCAAGCGGAATCGCACAGCAACCCTCTGTCGCGTGATTCAGTAGACTACACAGTCGAGCAAGTTCGCAAACATTCCAGGCCGCGCCTCCACTGTGATCAAAATTAAATTGTAAATTCAGACCAGCCAAAATTATTTCAGTATACAAAACCGATCAAAATTATTTTTTGGAGTTACAAAATAATTCGAGCAGTCAAAGCAATAATGCTTAAGCGATTTCAAATGATTTACTTCTTTTCTTTCCCTTTTCCCCTTAAACATGTTTGGTATCTGGGTAGCCAGTCCTGACAGTCTAACAGACCGACGATATCGCATAATTTATGCAAGGTTTGTTGTTCAACGTTAAACTTTGATAAAGACTACATTCGAACTATAGGAGTAGATAGAGTGTTACGGGGACCTGGAAGAATATAAAATTGCCGTCAAATTGGCGACACGCCAATAAAGAGTGACAGTGACCATTGTTTGGAATAGAAAACGACTATTATAACAAGTTCACGCCTTCCTACTTAAAATTCGAAAGTGACTAATGATTTAATGGTTCGAGTAAAAAGGTGGGTCATTGCCACGCGGGGATTAGCTGTCAATTTGTTTGTGAAACAAAAGGAATATCCAAGTTGATATCTAGATTCGAAAGTTAAAGCGATCAATTTGGACTGTAACATTTTACCACTACAAAAGGTACTAGTATAATTATTTTCGCGTAGGGCTATTCTGTGTTTTTAATTTTGAGTAGTTTAGGTTCAAAATTCACTTTTTGGATGTCTTGTGTCAATTGGATTATGATTTTAAATTGAGCAGTGAAATTTTGTGTTGCCGATGACCACTCCATTTTTTGCTACACTAGCGTGTAGTTTTTCGATATCTTGTATTTTAGTCCTTACCATGATATGGAGTCTACATAATTCGACTTTTATGGTACATTCAGATCAGTCAGAAAATGTATAAAATACAGGGTGGCACATCGAAAACGAAACAGACGGATTTACTGGCAGCTCAGTTTTATTTTTTGGAAAAACGCTCAGACCCGTCGATTTTGTTTTCGAGGGGGACACAAGTTTGGCAAAAAATCACGTTAACACGTGCAGCCCCCTGGGCGGGGGTGACACCAACCCTAAAATCTTAAATGGAAAGGGGGGTCGAGTGATACCTTATTTTAAAGGTCT